AAAAAAAAAAAAAAGTCTGTTGAACCTATTAACACTAAGTAGTATTAAAAGCTTAAAGAAATATTTAAATAGCGCTTTTTTTTTTAAATTGCACATCATAGAAACCTTGCCTGATAGTCTGTCTATTCAATATTTCCCCTGTATGCTTTATCAAAGGCAGTATTCTTAGCTACTACTTCTTTTTTTTTATGCGGAACCAGGGATTGAACTCAGGCCCTTGTGCTTGCCAGGGAAGCACTTATTTTACTGAGCCATCTCCCCGGCCCAGTTCTTGTTTTCAGTTCATAATGTATCTTTTATTGAGAGGTCACTGGAATGAATATATCCTGCAGTGGAGAGTAAAACTCTCAATGATTCTTTTGGTCTTCTTTTAGGCTACTGTGGAAACAGTGGAATTGGATCCAGTACCACCAGCCCAGACTCCTTCACCACCTCCTGTGGCTACTGTTGACCCAGCATCTCCAGCACCAGCCTCAACAGAGTCGACTGCACTATCCCCTTGCATTGTTGTTAATTCCACTCTTTCATCCTATGTGGCAAACCAAGCATCTTCTGGGGCTGGGGGTCAGCCAAATATCACCAAGTTAATTATCACCAAACAGATGTTGCCCTCTTCTATTACCATGTCTCAAGGAGGTATGGTTACTGTTATCCCAGCCACAGTGGTGACCTCCCGGGGGCTCCAGCTGGGCCAAACCAGTACAGCTACGATCCAGCCTAGCCAGCAAGCCCAGATTGTCACTCGGTCAGTGTTGCAGGCAGCGGCAGCAGCTGCTGCTTCTATGCAGCTGCCTCCACCCCGATTACAGCCACCTCCATTACAACAGATGCCTCAGCCCCCAACTCAGCAGCAAGTTACCATTCTACAGCAGCCTCCTCCACTTCAGGCCATGCAACAGCCTCCACCTCAGAAAGTTAGAATCAACTTACAGCAACAGCCACCTCCTCTGCAGAGTAAGATTGTGCCTCCACCCACGTTGAAAATGCAGACTACTGTAGTGCCACCTACTGTGGAAAGCAGTCCTGAGCAACCTGTGAATAGCAGCCCTGAGGTCCACACAGTGGAGGCAGCCACTCCTGATACAATCTGTGAGATGATCACAGATGTTGTTCCTGAGGTGAGTCTTGCTTTTGATTTCTGTAAATCGTGGAATGTGTAAGCATTTATTTAAAAAGGTGCAGGGGGATGCTGCTCTTATTTGATACCTGGTGATCAGTATGAAACCTCAAGAGTTCCCTCCCTCTGATTTTTCCCATCTACACCCATAGTGTTTTTATTAAGAAACATTTAAGGGGCCAGGGAGATAGCTGAGTAGACTAAGCGCCTGCTTGGCAAGCGCACGGGCCTGCGTTCAATCCCCGGTTCTGTCAAAGAAACATTTAAGAGGACTTCCTGTGTGTGCTTGCGCATGTGTACCAATGATTAAACCTAGGATTCTCTCCAGCTTTTAAGACAGGTCTTGCTAAGTTATCTAAGCTGAGCTTGAATTTAGGATCCTTCAATATCAGCCTCCCAAAATACTGGGATTATAGGATTTTTTTTTGCTCCGAATGCCCTCAGGGCTTGTTTGGTTGACTGGAGAGTGGTGGGGATTGAATTAGAGCCACTTGAGGCTGACAGCTTGGTGGAAGCAGCCACTTAAAGAACTGAGCTAGGGCCAGGCCTCAATGCTGGGATTATAGATGTGCTGCCACCATGCTGGGTTTTGGATTGTTTAGTTTTGAGACAGGATTTCCTTTGTAGCACAGGCTGGCCTTGAACTCACAGCAACCCTGCAGCCTCAGTCTCCCCAAATGCTGGGATTTTAGGCATCCTCTACCATATGCAGTCAGAAGTGAGTAGAGGCATCAGTGTGGTTTGACTAGAGAAAACATAGCCTACAGTGTTATTTTGCAGAGGTGGACTACCCAGGGATCCTTAACTTAGCAGTATTAAATCCTTCAATCTCTACAAGATGTTAACAGCCTAGCTTGATGCTTTAAATATATGTGGGGAGGCAGGTGTGTGTGTGTGTGTGTGTGTGTGTGTGTATATGTATGTGTATATATGTGTATGTGTGTATATATGTGTATATGTTTGGTTTTGTGTGTGTGTGTGGAACCGGGGATTAAACTCAGGCCCTTGCACTTGCCAGGCAAGTGGTTATTCTACTCAGCTATTCCCCCATCCCCAGTCACTTTAAAACATAGGTCTTGGCTGGGGAATGTAGAGTAGCGGAAGAGCAACTATTTGCCCAATATGAGTCCCTGGGTTTGATTCTTAGCATCCCTGAAATAGAAGGGGCTGGGGTTACTATTTAGACTCTAGTTCTGTAATTAATGAAACAATCATTTAAAGGATACCTTATCCACACAAAAGTCTATGAATCTGCAAGTTCCTTTTCATAACAGCGAATATTCCTCTTAATATCCCCTTCTAGTTTAGTGCATCTCACATTCTCTACCCAATACTTTAATACTTTTCAGAGGGACATTATTTCAGTGTTGTGGACTGGATTAAAATTTAAGAGCACTAGCATATGCTGTGACTTCCCCTCTAGGAAGACTCTTCATATTATTCAGCTTGCAATTCCCTAAAACTGAATAAAGGGGAGATCAAGAACCCACTTTTGGGGGGAGAATTCTACCCCTATTTGAGGAATTGTAAAATCTCTTTTCTCATTAGATCCCAAGAATAATTTGACAGGGTAGCATCCCAATCCACCTTTGTCGTGTTGTCTTCTTCTCACAGGTTGAATCTCCTTCTCAGATGGATGTTGAATTGGTGAGCGGGTCTCCTGTGGTGCTCTCCCCTCAGCCTCGATGTGTGAGGTCTGGTTGTGAGAACCCTCCTGTCGTGAGTAAGGACTGGGACAATGAATACTGCAGCAATGAGTGCGTGGTAAAGCACTGCAGGTGAGCTTACAGTTCTTATGGCTCGGGTGCTGTTAAATTAACTATGTTGAGAAATGCTGGAGCCTTGAGAATATAATCAGCATTTCCTTAGAGTGGATTGCTATATATTTGATCTCATTAGTGAGGCTACTGGAAAAGCTCCTCTGCTTAAAAAGAGTTTACAGGCCAGGAAAGGTGGTGCACACCTGTAACCCTGGCCCTTGGTAGGCTGAGGTAGGAGTGCCATGAGTTCAGTACAAGCCTACATAATGAGTTCAAGGTCTGCTTAAGCAAGATCCTGTCTCAAAGAAACAAAAAGAGCTTATACCTGAGGCTGGGAGTGTAGCTCAGTGCTAGAGCATTTGTCTGGTGTATGTGAGGCCCTATATCTCCAGAATGATACTGAAAGAAAAGATACTTCATGCTTTCTAGCTGTAATTCTAAATTGTCAGCCTTTCAGTCCTTAGGGAATCAGAAATTTGGGGGTGAGGGGGCTGGGGATACAGCTCAGCAGTGTGCCTGACTGACAAACACAAGGTCCTGAGTTTGATCCCCAGTACAAAAAAAGAAATTGGGGTTGGGCATAAGTGAAAAGCAACACAATAAGCAGCCAAATAATCTCAAAGGAATGAGAAATTGGTATCATTTTCCCTTTAACCCCGATTTTCTTAAAATTATCTATATCCATGAAACATGGTATATTTGTATATCCTGTCTCAGAGTCCTAGCTTATAGACTGCCATTGCTTCTACTACTCTTAGGCCCATTGCTTATGTTTCTTAGGTAATACTGTCTTAACCTTAATGTTGAAGGAAATAGTGAAAATTATTTACGAGTTAAAAAGTGTATCTAGGTTTTAATTACGTATTTTGTTTTGTGTGTCCTTTTCTCTTAGGGATGTATTTTTGGCCTGGGTAGCCTCCAGAAATTCAAACTCCGTGGTATTTGTGAAATAGTCTTTTCTGTTATCCAAGCCAGTGAAGGTCTATCCGCTGGGAAGAAGTCCAAGAGCCTGTTTTTGAAACACAAGCTGGGCTTCTGGTAGTGCCTGATCTCAACTCACCATGGTCCTTCATGTCCCATGCCTCCCCTTTCAGAGGCAAAGCTGTGGAGCTGGGTCAATAAGTTTGCCATAATCTGTGATTCTTTTTCCTTTCAACTGCAAGTAAAAATACCAAGATAATAGCAAAGGAAAAGGTGAAGGAAGTTTAAATAAGCAAATCATAGGGATGGTAGGGTGGTGGTGTTGTTTCACAAAACTTGGTATAACTGTCATAGGACCTGCCCATTACAATGATGGGAAAGGATTAGCTTTGAGCCTAGGAGAAAACAGTGTCCATTTTAAAAAGGGATAAGGGGTTAAGGATATAGTGCAGTGGTAGAAGGGCCCTTGAGTTCAATCCTTAGCACATAAAAAAGGGGATAAAAGGTTTGTTCCATCAAGTGTACCTCCTTACAGCTACTTGTATTGGCACGTGACTAAAATCCCAGCACTCTTAAAGAAGCTGAGGCAGGACTATTGCCAAGTTTGAGCCCTGCCTGAGCAACCCAGCGACTTTAGCAAGACCCTGTCTCAAAAAATAAAAATTGGCTATGGATGTCATCAGCTCAGCATAAAAATCCTGGGCTCAATTTTTTATACCCAGCAAAAGTAACAGCTGAATATGGTAGTACACACCTATAATCCTAGCATTTAGGATGTTGGGGCAGGAGGAGCCCAAGTCAGTCTGAGCTACAAGGCAAGACCCTGTCTCCAAAACAGAAAAAAAAAAAACCCTAAGGAACCACTATCAAATACTTTGCTGGCCATGGTGGTACATGCATAATCCCAGTACTTAGAAGGGGCTAACTACAAACTCAAGACTAGGCTGAACTATAAAATGAGACCCTGTCTCAAAATTGAATAGAGTAGTCTATAACAGGCACATGGAGCTGTGGAGAAAATATCACCCAGAAGGTTATTCCTTTTTAATATTTATGTAGTCAGCATTCTCCTGACATGTTAAGAGTTTATAAGTGGTAGAACTGAACACCCCTTGGTTCTACCAGTCCAAAGAGTGTATTCTGTTTGATGAAATAGCTTCTAAATAACAGGCCAGAGGCATTTTTTACTTTAAGGCTAATTCTCTATAGGCACTTCCATCTGTACGTATGTTTTGGAAATAAACTTCCAAATAAAATAGCATAGTCACTTAGGTATAACAGAACATGTTGAGGTGATAATCTCCAATGAAACTCAGAATCCCTACCTTGAGAAATACTGTCCTAGGGAATGTACTTATTCACCTATGCTCAATATATTAACTGCTAATCGTTTTGATCCTACAACAGTCCTACCAGGATGTCACTACTTTCCATTAACTTTGAACATCACAGGGACCAAGTGAAGTAGCTAACACTCCCAGAATTGCACAACACACAAGAAGCAGAAGTAGGGCTGGTGAGATGGCTCAGTGGTCTAAAGCATCTACTTAGAACAAGCTTAGCAAAGCACAGGGACCGCAGTTCAACCCCCCAGCATCACATGCCAGCCCGCCCTGAGCTGGCCACACACACAAATAAGTAAAAATTTAAAAAAAAGCAGAAGTTCCACCTCAAGATCCCAATTACAATACAAATCTTTATTTAAATAAAAGTTACTGTACAAATACTAACTCTTCAGGTGTAAACATTTGCGGAGCCATGGTTCTGGATGCTTCACTGTAAGGAAGTGCTTCTATAAATTCTTAGGTTTAGAGATGATTCCATCTGGATACCTTTGCTTGAATCGTGCAACAACATCTGGATCTAATAGGTGGATCCCATCAAGTTGATTTCCCAGGGTGATCCTAATGGAGAAAAGTGAGCAAGCCAAACATCCTGGAATTTAAGCACTTTCTATATAGTTAAAGGATGCACACCTTTCATTAATACTGCACATCAGAGATACTTATTCTTTTTATAATACTGTAACATCAAAATAATATCCCTGGTAAGACCTGGCACAGATGCTGAGTCAGCTGCAATGGCATATCTCAATACTAAGACTCATGAAGCTTGGCAAAAGTACAAGGCCAGCCTGGACTACACAGTGAGAACCTGTCTCAAAAACAATCAGAATTGGTATAGATGCTAATGTTAAAACAAGCTTGGACATAATGGGCACGCCTGTAGTTCCAGTAGGCTGAAATGGGAAGGTTCCAAGTTTAAGACCAGCTTGGATAACAATTTGAGTTCCCTGTCTCAGAAAGTAGCTCTCGTAGAGCACTTGCCCACCACACACACAGCCTTGGCTTCAATCCTGAGAACTCACTGAGAAAAGAGCTGGATCTGTATTGTCAAAAGATAAGTAATTGACATCTAATCAACCTATTTCAGACAGTTGGTGCTGCAAGTTTCTTTCCATAAATAAAATTACTATTTCTTTCCATAAATAAAATTCTGGCAGCGTCTTTTAAAGAGGTGGAACCACCAGGGGGCAGACCAGGTACATTCTATGGAATGTCTTGAGGATGACCCCCATGCGGGAACAAAGTCAGGAATGGAGGCTGGGGGGGGGGGGGGGGCGCGACACTTGTGAACTGTGCAAGACTCCTAGAATTGAAGGTTTCCAATGAATATTGCACAATCGCATAAAACATTTAAAATGCAAGCTTAAACCATTTAAATCCTCTGAAAGCCCACTTACAGACTAGCAATGTGAGGTGAAGCTCATACTAATCTTTCCTTGAGCAGCCTGTTATAGGACCTTGCCTAGTGATGGCAAACCTTTTAGAGCTTTCAGTGATAACAGCTTGCTGTGGCATACAAGCCACAGATTTGCCACCAATGGCCCAGCCTTTTGTCTAGTCACCTTACCAGTTGGGTTGCACATTGTGTGGTCGTCCAAATAACTCAATCTTGCGAGTGCCAGGGGACAGTCTTTCAATCATGCCATAGATTTCATCTGGTTTATGACTAGTAGAACGAACCTAGGAAATAAAAATCTAGCTACTGTTTGCCTGCCAAGATTGCAGATCTATTAGGTTATAATCCAAATGAGATACTTAAAAAAACAAAACAAAAACGAGGTATCCCTAGGATGAGAATACACTTGATACAATCAATAAGAAAAATGTGAAAGAAAGCACGCACCTCAGCTACAATCACGTCACAATCTAGACCCTGGTTAAAGCCTTGAGGATTTCCTTTGACACCAACCTGCTCACCACAGAGAACACAATTACATTATGAAACTATACTTCTGAATTTTTTATTTAAAAAAATTCCTATCACAGAATAGGTCCTACTAATGCTTACCAAGCAATGTTCCTTGCCATGGTTCAACCAGTGGCCTGTACGACCTGTTCGAATAATACGCTGCAGTTGGTTTGTCTTCACCCAGATAATTTCATCTACCCGCTCATAACTGTGGAGCAGAATAGAAGCTTTAACCATACTTTTAGAGATAGGGAGACAGTTCGGTGGTCTAAGTACCTGCCTGGCAAGCACAAAGACCAAGGTTCGATCCCCAGTACTACATACTATGTCAGCCTTGGAACCTTGGGCACACCATGCTGGCCACCAAAACCAGGTGTGGTGGCACATGTCTGTAATCAGTACATGAGAGAGGCTTAAGATCGAAGGATAGTCAGCAGGGGAGATAGCTCAGTAGAATAAGCACTTGCCTGGCAAGCGCAAGGGCCTGAGTTCAATCCCTGGTTCCACCAAAAAAAAAAATGGATAACTACGAGTCGGAGCTGGATAGCAAGGTCCTGTACCCAATAACACAGAAATCCTAAACCATACTTCCATAGTTGAGGGGCAGTACCATCTAGAGGCAAGGGATCACAGTACTACTCTAGGATCCCTTCTCACAGCTGTATCAATACTTTTTTTTTTTTTTTTTGAGGGGGGGATGGGACTGGGGATTGAACTCAGGACCTTTCCATTTCCAGGCAGGTTCTTATGCCACTGAGCTATATCCCCAGCCCCTCAATCAATACATACTTATTTTCCCTCAAAGCAACATAACTGCTACTTACCCCCAGAGGTTCAGACATTCTCTGCCCAACTCCATGGCTCTAGAAAGAAGGGTTAAACAACTGGTATACCAATTTTGTCAGTTACCCTTCAAAACATCTGGTGTAAACATTGGAATTTGGAATCCCTTTTTCCCCCAGTGGATGTTCAATGAACATTTGTAAGACACCATTAGGGTAACAGGATGAATCTAAAATAGAAAGCTAAAACAGATCACACGACTTTACAGGCAGCTCTTTGGAAGGCTGAAGCAGAGGACCACAAGTTCAAGGCCACCTGGGCACTTAGCAAGATCACAGCTCAAAATTTTACTAACAGCTGGTGATACAGCTCAGTACTAGTGTTTGTCTAACACATACTGAGTCCCTGAGGTTACCCCCCAACACTAGGGTGGGAAATAAAGTATCTGTTTATGACCTGACCTTTCTCAAGGGGCAAATGTAGAAATAAATATAATTCAAAATATTATTTGTATAAGAATTATGGAAGGGAGAAAAAAATCTAAATGGATCATTTAGTAGGGCTAGGAACCTAGGACAACCTGGGGCTTTATCTGTCACCCAATACTATGTACTATATGGGCCCATCCCTACTTGTCTTTAACTGTATTACCTGCCTGTGACCCAGAGGAAGAGAAAGCCATCATCCTGTAGTACTGGTATGTTGAGCCTGCGCATCTCATCATCTGTCAGGGTCCCATAGGGCAGCTCCATATGAATATCCCAGGGTGGGTCAGCCATCACAACTGCAAACTTGCCCAATATACTGACGTCCAAATAGCGGATATCACAACAGATCCACTGCATGAGGTGGTATTTTGGTCATCATCTGTTCCTTCACTCGGATCCATGGCCCCAGTCCCTCTTTTCCATCTGATTTTCTTACTCCCTTGACTGTATCTATCCCACTCCACCCCACTCAGCAGATTGTTGAACTATGTCCTGCTTTCCTACATGCATGACTGCCCTACTCAAGACATAAGTCCATAAATTGAGATGAGCTTTCCGAGCAGATAGTACCTGAGGTGGAAAAAGTCGATCCACACTGGAGTCACCACCAACGCTCTGTGTGAGTGCAAGCTCCTGGCTTGGTGTATGATCACTGCTGCCAGGACCTTCAGAATCCATACAAGCATCTATTTCATAGTGAACATATTTACAGGTATCCATGTGGAAACATGTGTTAAGGAAAGAACAGTCACCTAAAGATTCATCAGTGTGTTTGTTGATAATACGTCTGGGAAAATAAAAACAAGAAATCAGATTAACATGGCATACCACAGGAGATTGTACAGTTCAAGTTCCAAATAGTTTAAAACTTTTCTGTTTCTCTGGCCTCTCTGTATCTTCTCTGGTGTTAGTACTTTTTCCAAGACTTTTTTTTAAAGTATATATTTATTTATATTTATTTATTTGTGTGTGTGGCCAGCTCAGCCCATCTGGGGGCAGGGCTGGCTGGCATGTGGTGCTGGAGGATTGAACTGCAGTCCCTGTGCTTTACTAAGCTTGTTCTAAGTGGGTGCTTTAGAGCATTGAGCCATCTCACCAGCTCTTTCCAAGACTTTTTTAAGAAAGGGGAAACAAGTGACATAGAAATCCATAATTCATATTAAAGAGCAAAGACTTTGCTTCCTCTTATAGGAACATAGTCCAAAAAGAGTTGGCTGATTAGAAAATAATTCACTGGAGCTGGCGAAATAGCTCAGCACACTAAGTGCCTGCTTAGGCAAGCACAGGGACTGGGGTTCAATCCCCAGCACATGCTGTGGGGCCCCACCCCCGGGTACACCGAGCTGGCCACTGAGGCTGGTGGTAGTCACACATGCCTGTAATCTCAGTGCTGGAAGGCTGAAAACAGGAGGATCACTACGAGTCCAAGCTGCATAGTGAGGCCCTGTACCAAGTACATTAAAAATAAAATATTCACTGCTCTAAGAACCTTGGTTCCTGTTTGTCTGTGACCATCCTCTTTGCAAAGAATTTCTAGGGCTGGTGAGATGGCTCAGTGGTCTAAAGCACCTACTTAGAACGAGCTTAGTAAAGCACAGGGACCGCGGTTCAATCCCCCAGCACCACATGCCAACCAGCCCCCTGGTGGGCTGAGTTGGACACACACACACACACACACACACACACACACACACACACACACACACAAATTAAAAAAAAAAAGAATTTCTAAGCATCAGAGATGAGAGAGGCCTTGCTATAAGAGGTCACTTAAAATCTAATCTACTTGGAAGTGTAGCTTCTATTTCTTCCCACACAATGCCACTTCTGAAATTTTACTTTCAAAATCTGAAGAATTTAATAAACTAAATAACAAGTTTATAGATAGAACCCCTAAGACAGGAAGGAATATATGGTGAAAAGGAATGACTGCTTCTGGGAAGCCCATCCCACCTCACTCCTCCCCAGAGACCTGAAGTG